TCTTAGGGGCTCTGGGACTCGTGATTTTGTTTCTCTTTTGTTGCTCATCAACGCCAAAAGCGGAACCAAGCTTTGCTGCTTCCATGTCCTTCTGCTGCCCTCTCCCTCCCACCCGTGTCTGGCAGGGACTGGGGCAGCTTTGGCCTCATTACCTGTGGGCTCCCCAAATATTCTGGCATTCCAGGCTCAGTTCAATCCAGGGAGAGGTGGGAACAGCCTGTGCAAAGCTTCCAGCACCGGCCCTACAAATGTGCAAAGCAGCTGACACCAGTTGGCAGCGAGTTTGCAGGGGAAGATTAGAAGAGGAAAATCCTTTGAAGAGAAACCCTTTTACTTTATTAGGAAAAAATGCTCCTTGCCCTGTGCTAGCCGGGTCAGGGGAATCCAAAGCCTGTGTGTGTGATCCAGGCAGGGGGAAGCTCTGCTTTGCTTCCCTGCTGATCATTTGGGGGATGACAGCCTGCCCCTCTTCGCTGTAGGTTTATTCTTACTGCAACTCAAGCAGAGTTTATTTTAACCCCTGTGGTGCAGACAGGTCCTGAGGGGAGCTCCTGGAGGTGGTCTGGGGTCTGGGGACAGCCCTGCAGGCCCTGTTGGAGGGCTGGGGGCTGCACAGCCTGTGCTGTTCTGCTGAGGATGGAGGAGAATCGGGTGGGATCAAAATACACATGGAAATAAAACCACCCTGCCCGGGGTGAGCGTGGTGCAGCCCTGGAAAATGGACAGCTCAACACCCCAGTGTGAGCCTGATCCTCGTTTTCCATGGAAGCTGCCCGTGGGAGGTGTTTTTCCCCTTGGACAGGGATGTTTTGCCCATCTGAGTGTGCTGAGCTCACCGAGGGGCAGCAGCGTTTGGGGCTGTGGTGGCACCCAGAGCCAGGAGGGACGGTGGGACAGGAGGGACGGTGGGACAGGAGGGACAGTGTCCTCAGGAACCTCCTGCCGTGCTTCCTTTTCCAACCTGTGGTGACTCATGGAACATCATCCCAGGAGGAGGCGGCGAGACTGAATCAGTGGTGCCTGAGGACAGGAGAGGGAACGTGAGCGTGGGCAGCCCCTGCTTTGCTCCAGAGCTCTCCTTCCTTCCTTCCTTCCTTCTTTCCTCGTGCCCACCCACCTGTGCTCTGCCTGTCCTGAGCTGATGGGGGGGAAGCTCAGCTCCATGTGGTGCTGAGCTCTTCCTTGGAGCTGAAGCTCGTTTTTGATGCCTGCAGGACCAGGCTGGAGCCTGGATTTAGGTTTGGGTTTGCTCAGGGTGTGCTGTCCTCCCTCAGAAGCCCTGATGAGCTGTTGTGTTTCCTGAGCTGCTTCCAGGGTTTGTCTTTCCAAGGTGGGGAGAAGCCCAGAGGTGCTGCTGGAGCTCGTGAGGAGCCTTTGCTGCTCTGGGGGTCCTGAGCACATGGGGCTGGGCTGTGCCATCCTCTGATGGGAGCCCTCGGCCTGAGGGCTCTAATGAAGCTAATGAGGGTGTTCAGAGGAACACAGAACTAATTTCTCTCATGGAAAGGCTCCTGGGGGAGCTGGGCTGAGCCAAGGCACAGGATGGCAGCAAACGCTGTCTGCCCAAACCTCAGAGGTGTCAGGCTGCTGGGAGAGGAGCTGGAATGCGGCTGAAAGCTGAATTTCCTCCCTAATTGCCAGCAGGGTGGAGTGGCTCTTTCCCTGCTCTCCCTCCTTTCCTGCAGGGAGGTGGCCCAGTGGGAAGCAGAGATGGGATGGGGCAGAGCTCTGGGCTGGCACAGCTCTCGTGGCTGTGCCCTGCGGTGCTGAAGGGATGCAGATGCTCTGTGACCATGAGCTGATGTTTGGAGATGTGCAGCGGCTGCAGAACTGAGCACCCACAGCACCCAACATCCATGGTGGGAAAGGGATGCAGCTCCTCCTGTGTGAATCCTGCCCGGATTTGCTTCGAGGTGGTGGCAGAGCTTCCTCTGCAGCGCTGCCCTTGTGCCCTGCCCGGGGACACTTGTGTAACTCGGGGATCCGGTTACTGCCCAGCTCAGCTGCTGAGCCCTCCTCCCCAGCAGGAGCAGGCAGGTAGTGCAGCGTTCTGCAGCTGAAATAATGGAGTTTGATCTCCAAGGAGCCCTTCTTTGGAAGGGGGAGCAGGAGATAAGAGCTGGAAAAGCTGAGCTGAGAGCAGCTGTCCTGGCTGCTGCCATCCAAGGGTTAACCCTGGCTGCGTTCCGGATTACTGGGTTGCAAAATCAGCTGGGGTGGGATGGGGGCAGTTCATCCTTGCTGAGTCTCAGGGGAAAAACGAGGTGATTTTCCCATCCCAGCCTCCTTGTTGGGAGCCAAGAAATACAAATCTTGCTGTGGTCACAGGCTGCCCTGGACACTGGGGCTAAATTAGGGCCGTGGGCAGTGGTACCACACCCCAAATACTCTGGATGTGGGGTTCCTGTGAGCAGAGCAGTGCCAGGACATCACCCCCAGAGGTTTCACTGCTGGCTGGGGACTGGGAGCTGCTGGCTCCCACCTAAAGAGGACAAACTGGTGGCAGTGCTGCTCTTGTCCCACACGGTGCCATTCTTGGCACATTCCCCATGTCCCAGGGCACAGGGAGCTGCTGCCTGTGCTGAGGGCAGGAGTTTTGGGGTGCAGCAGGTGATGCTGGGGCTGTGGGATGACTCTGCCATGGCTTGTCCATCCTGCAGCAGCAATGGCCTTCAGCTCATGCTGCTGCTGCCAGGAACATTTCCTAAATTAACCAAATCATTCCCTTAACGAGGCTTAACCTGCTCCTCTCAAGCCTCTCCATGCAAAGCCATCAGGGGGGCAGAGGGAGCAGCTGGATCACAGCTGGGTGCTCTGAGAGCACTGGGGCAGCTGTTTGCTCCCTGGGTACAAAAACAAACGTCAGGGCCGTGCTGGTACAGGTAATGGAGGCCTCCCACTTCATTAGAAATCCAATTAATCTCCTATAACAGTGCTCGGAATGACCTCTAAAAATGGGATGTATTTTGCTGTACCTCTGCTGTTTGTCTTGTGCAGAATGATGTTAACTAGCTGCTTCCTGCTGGTCCATTTTCCGGGCACATAATTACAAATTGTTTTGTTTTTCTCTTTTCTCTTCAGCTTCCTGGCTCCCCAGGCCAGGCTCTTCAGAGTGGGGCTGCAAATAGCCAGGCTTTTCTGCAGCCCCCTTTGCATGGCTCCTCGGGGGGCTGCTGTTACCCTTGCTCATGGTTTTGGTTTCTGCAGGATCCAGTTTTTAGGGTAATAAAGCAATAGAGGAGCAAGGAGGGGCTGTCCTACCTCCTGCCCTGTCTTCCTTTTGCCCTGAGGATGTCAAGGAGTTTGTGCAAAGGTTGGCTTTGGCCACTTTGGTCCTTGCTGAGTTTGTGATGGTTTGGTGCCAGCAGCCTCCCCAGGTTCCCCCAGGTTTCCTCTGCCTGGGGAAGCAGGAGAGCTGAGCAGGTGGGAGAGGTGTGACCAAAGCCCGGGGATGGTGTTTGGGGTGGGTGGCTGAAGGGCACATCCTGTCTGTGCCTTTGCCTGTGCCAGGGCAGCACCATCAGGGTGTGGGTTTTGGGAATTAATCCTTGCCCCTCTGAAATCCCCACTGCCCTGGGCACCACCCTGGGTCCTGCAAAGCATCCCAGGGCTGATGCTCCTCTGCTCCTGGAGCGTGTCAGGGACAGGTCAGAGGGGTCAGAAGGACTTTTCTGTCTAAATCTTGGTAAAATGACCAAACCTGCTGTTTCCTGCAGGGTGGGGGTGTTTCCACATCCCCCTGCTCGCTGCTGCTCCAAGGGGCAGAGCTGCTCCAGGGGCTGAGCCTGGCCCCAAAGGCTGCTGGAGACAGGAAGGAAAATGAACTGCTCTCAAGATAGACACGTTTGTTGTTCTATATTTAGGAGCACGGTAATTAAGGCTGCTTGTTTATCCTGACAAACATCATAACTAATAGTCTGTGGCAGACAAGCAAAATACTTTCTGCACCTGGGAACTCGGAGCTGTCTTTGGGAAGGGCAGGGGGCTCATTAAAGACCTGCAATTTAGGGAACATCTGGATGTTTGCTTTGTCCCCTCCCTGGGCACGGGTGCTGGTGGGCTCTGGATTTGTGGTCAGGAGGATCCCTTGGAGCAGCAGGCTGATGGATGGGGGCCAGCAGAGCAAAGGGGAGAGTGAGGATGCTCGGTGGCACCCAGGGGTGCAGCGGGGGAGGTATCAGGGTGCAGAAATTGGCTCGTAAATGCAGTAGATCTTGCTGGTGGGGCACTGGGAGGTGGCAGGCAGCCAGAATAAGCTTTTCCCAGCCTTCGGAGGAAGGGCAGTGTCACTGGTGGGGTTTTGGGGTCCCTTTGGGATCCTTGAGGCTGCTCCTGCAGCCCTCAGTGACAGAGCACATTCCCCAGCCTTGCCCAGATAGAATTTTGGCTCACGGTGAGCTCTCAGACCAGCAGGGAAAAGAAACCAGCACATGCAGAAAGGCACAAATCCATGATTTATTCTATGAAGGCATCCTATCTAGCATGTACCAACGGCTCTTGTTTTACAGGGGTTTTTATATCTTTTGAGGGTTTTACATTTCGCACCAATTACCAAGGGAATTCTACTTTCTAACCAATCCCCGAGGGATTTTACATTCAAAGCTGGCCTATGGATACTAAAAGAAAATGAACCACTAATACTGGAGGTAGATAAGAGGGTCTTCCAAGGGGGGGGAAGCTAAATTCCTTTTGTATTCGTCATTTCACAAGCCATTTCTTATCTCTAAGCTCTGGTTTTTCCAAGGAGCTTGTTCTGAGGATGCAGGGAAACTTTCTTCTGTGTTTTCTGTTCCTTTCACAGGGCAAGCTGAGGGCAAGTGGCTTCTCAGAGTTCCCACTAGATGGGGATGGAGGCATTGCCAGAGCGCTCGCAGCGCGCCCGCGGGGAGCACCCGGCCCTCGCCCCCGCGTCCTCTCTGGTGGCCACGGTGGCAACCGGGGGTCATGACCCGGCTCCCCGGGGGTGGCTCGGGGCTGACAGGATGTCACTTCTCCCGCAGATGCTGCAGGACTGCCCCAAGGCCCGCAGGGAAGTGGAGCTGCACTGGCGAGCGTCGCAGTGCGCGCACATCGTGCGCATCATGGACGTCTACGAGAACCTCTACCAGGGCAGGAAGTGTCTGCTCATCGTCATGGAGTGGTGAGAGCCCGGCACAGCAGCACCCCGAGCCTGCTGGGGAGGTGCCAAAAAGGGGGGTGGGCATCCCCCAGCCCCGGGGATGCCAGGGGCATGTGAGGGATGCCAGCCCCGGCACAGGGTTGGTGTTGGAGGGATGGGGATGGCTGTGCTGGCTCTGAGTCATCCCGAGAACGTGCTCAGCTCTGAGAGACCCAGGGCCTGTGGTTCTCACAGGTGGGTCATAACCAAAGTGGCTTTGGCCATCGAAAGTTGGGGTAGGCAGAGGTTGCTGGCAGCCCAGCAGCTGCGGGGGGGCAGCAGCCAGGGCGAGCTGGCAGCTCTGGTGCTGCCCTGGCAGCTCTGGTGCTGCCCTGGCACCTCCTGCAGCAGCAGCTGAGCGGCTCTGGTTTGGGTAGGAGCTTGGTATTAACCTGGGGACGAGGAGGAGGGATGAAGGGGAAAGTATTGAAACCACATCCCAACCGCAGCTGTGATTTGATGCAGCTTGCTTGCCAAAACCTCTCCTCTGGCAAGCTGGTAGATCGCCTGGGGGGGCAGCGGGGGCAGGAGCAGTGCCAGGGCAGGTGGCACAGCAGTCCCCAAAGCAGCTCCTGTGGGGGGAACGGGAACATGAGAACCACCCTGGCACTGTGGGCAGCCAGGGGTGGGAAAGGGGTGTGTGGTGGGGGAAGAAAGAATGGCTGAGGGGTAGGAGGAGAGTCCCCAGGACTGTCTGTGGGACCAGGGATGCTCTGGGGGTAACGCCCATTGCAAGGCAGGATTTGACTTCCAGCAGGAGTAGGCTCTGGGTCCTTCCTGTCATGCTCTGGATCCTTCCTGACAGGCTCTGGATCCATCCTGTCATGCTCTGGATCCATCCTGTCATGGTCTGGATCCATGCTCACAGGCTCTGGGTCCATCCTGACAGGCTCTGTGCAGCACAGGGCCCTGAGGGCTGCAGGCTGTTGCTGTTGCAGATGTCAAGTGAATGTCAAGGAGATGCTATCAATGCTGGGAAAGTCAAAACTGCTCCTGCTTCAGTCAGATCAGGCAGGGGCAGGAAGTGCCATTATCCCTGCTCTCATGAAGAATTGTCCCATACCTCAGTCCTGATCTCTGTGGGAGCTGCATTTCCCTGAGGGTACCTGGGGAGGGAACCCCACCAATGGTTCTCCAACACCTCCCATGGGCCCTGGCTGTGCTGCTTTGGGGTCCAGCCTCTGTGTCCCAGCTTGGGGAGCCCAGTGTGACACTGCTGTTGTCTCTCCTGTGCCCTGAGCTTTGCTCAGCACTTCTGTGCTGGCTCATGGTGCTGCTGAGACAGTTGGCTTGTGAGCAAAAGGAGGCCACGTGTGCTGGGAGTGCTCTCACCAATTTCAAGCCACATTTGCTGCCTTTACTGTAAATGTGTTTCTGTGGCTGCTGGGGTGACCACGTCCGCCTGCGCCTCTGCCCTGCTGGTTTCAGGAAGGAGGAGGCTCTGAAACGCCCCAGAAGCACCAGCCCAAGGACTTGGATGGGGATGGGGATTGTTTCCTGCTGAGCAGCAGAGGGTTTGGTGCAGCTTGTGGCAGTGTGAGATGGACCCACAGCTTGTGACACCCCCTGGACCCACAGCTTGTGACACCACCCTGCTTGTCTTGCAGCTTGGATGGCGGGGAGCTCTTCAGCAGGATCCAGGACAGGGGAGACCAGGCCTTCACAGAACGGGGTATGGAGCCCACACCCTGCTACCCCTCAGTCCACTCCGTCCCCTCCGTGACTTTTTTGAATCCTCAGCAGAGTTTTGCACTCAGGGAATGAGCAACATGGGTGTAAGGGCCCTGCTTTTCATGTTCACTGGAGAATAGGGTTAGGGGGTTCTTTTCTCAGCTGCTCCCACACTCTGTCCATCCCACTCCTGTCAGAAACGCTCACTTCCCTCAAAAAATTAAGTCCATGGGCTGTGGTTCTCATAGATCTCATTAATCTCATTCCCTCTACTCCTCTGGCCAGGAAAAACAGCCACACAAACCAAACTCTGAGCCCGTTGCCCCCTTGACTTCCCATCCTAAGGGGAAACCATTCCCAGCTGGATTCCTTGCTGCTTGGGTGTCCTAAATGGTGCAATCCCCTCCTTGGTATCAGGGTCAGGGGCTGGTCTCTGCCCCATCCCTTCCCCTGGAGTTTCTGGGAGCTGCAGGTTCCTTACCCGGGGATGGGGAGTGGCAGAGACTCCATGGAAAATCGGACTTCAGGCAGAGAAAACCCCTTTGATCTCAGCCAGGTTCTTTGACTCCCGGTTTGTAGAGTTACCCAGGGAGTGGTGCCCCTTTTTAACTTGCTTGTGAAAGCTCCTGATGGTTTCTTTGCTGCTTCAGAGGCTTCGGAGATCATGAAGAGCATTGGGGAAGCCATCCAGTACCTGCACTCGATCAACATCGCACACCGGGACGTGAAGGTACCACCCTGAGCCCCCCTTGGCAGTGCCAGGGCCACGCTGCCCCTGCCCTGCTGCTCACTCCTTGTCTCCCCTGCGTGTTCCCAGCCCGAAAACCTCCTGTACACGTCCAAAAGGCCCAATGCTGTGCTGAAACTCACCGACTTCGGCTTCGCCAAGGAAACCACCACGCACAACTCGCTGGCCACGCCCTGCTACACGCCCTACTACGTGGGTGAGTGCCTGGGGGGCTGGGTTTGGGGTTTGGCAGGGCTGGGGGGCAGAGCTGGGGGGGTTTGGAGGGTGCCATGTGCAGCCCATCACCTCTGCACCCAGCCTGGAGCTGCTCCAGGCAGCGCTTCCCAGAATGGCTCTTGGTGTGTCCATGGGGTGTCAGAGCCCTCTCACTCACTGCTGACACCTGGATTTAGGATTTTCTTTCTGTCTTTACCAGCCCCAGAAGTGCTGGGCCCAGAGAAGTACGACAAGTCCTGTGACATGTGGTCCCTGGGTGTCATCATGTATATTCTGTAAGTCCGGGTGTTCCTCTCCCTCCTGCCGGGCTCAGCTCCTGCTGCTGGCACTGCCCCGTGCCCTGGAGGTGCTCCTGGGGAGGTTTTTGGGGTGGCACATTGACTCTAATCCCCCTCCTGCTGCAGGCTGTGTGGGTACCCCCCCTTCTACTCCAACCACGGCCTGGCCATCTCTCCTGGCATGAAGAAGCGAATCCGAATGGGCCAGTACGAGTTCCCCAACCCGGAGTGGTCCGAGGTGTCAGAGGAAGGTAAACGAGGTCCTTGTGGTCCCTGTGGTCCCTGTCCCCTGGCTCAGGTCTCTTTTTGAGGGCTGGGTGAGTCAGGGGTCACCTCTCAGCATCTTCACCTCAGCTGGAGAGGCTTTTGCTGCGGGGTTTGTGTAGGGACAGGTGTGTGGCACACAGGGGGCAGGTGTGTGACACACACACAGGAGGGGTTTTAGGGCAGGTGTGTGGCACACAGCAGGGGTGTGAGGGGTTTTGGGGCTGGGGTTGGAGCTCAGGAGATGCCCCCTGGCAGCTGCTGCCTCCTGACCCTGCCCCAAACCTTGCAGTGAAGCAGCTGATCCGAAACCTGCTGAAAACAGACCCGACCCAGCGCATGACAATAACAGAGTTCATGAACCACCCCTGGATCATGGTGAGTGTGGGGCTGGGATGGGATCCATGGGATGGGCTGGGATCCATGGGATGGGATCCATGGGATCCCTGGGATGGGATGGATTCCTGTGGCTCCCACTCAGGCTCCTCCTCTCTCCTGGCAGCAATCCATGCAGGTGCCCCAGACCCCACTGCACACCAGCCGTGTGCTGAAGGAGGAGAAGGACCTGTGGGAGGATGTGAAGGTAAAACCTCTCTCTGTCCCTGTCTGCAGTGCTCTGCACCCCTCTGTCCCCTCGGGAATGTCCTCTGCTGTGGGGCTGCAGATCAGGCTCCTTCACTGTCCCTGGAAGGGATCAAAAACTGCACAGATGTGGCATTTGGGGCCATGACTGAGTGCTGGGGTGGCTGTGCTGGGTTAACCATGGAATCACAGAATGGTTGGGAAGGGACCTTCCACTGTGCCAGGCTGCTGAGAGCCAGCCTGGGCACTGCCAGCCATGGGGCAGCCACAGCTCCTCTGGGAATTCCATCCCAGGGCAGAGCATGGTTGGACTCAAATCATCCTGGAGGGCTTTTCCAACCTCAGCAATTCCACAATCCCCGTTTGGTGTGGGTGTGCTGGCTCTGGGGCAGATCTGTGCTTGGGAGGGAGCTGGAAAATTTGGCAGTGGGACCCCCCAGGCCCTGCTGCCATTTATTCCCAGCTGCTCTGGGGGACCCTGGGGGGGCTGTGCTGATGGCTCTGTGCCCCCTGCCCGCAGGAGGAGATGACCAGTGCCCTGGCCACCATGAGGGTGGACTACGAACAAATCAAGATCAAGAAAATCGAGGATTCCTCGAACCCTCTGCTGATGAAGAGGAGGAAGAAAGCCAATCCCCCCGAGCCCTCTGCGCTACCCCACTGAGGGAGCCCAGCCAGCCCTCCACAAAGCAATAACTATATATATATATTTTTTAAGAAAAAAAAAGACAAAAAGAAAAACAGACTGTTCTATCGAGCGCATGGAATTCAGACATTTATACCAGACTAGTTATTTTTAGCTACTCACCTGTGTTTCTGACCTTGCTGGGGCAGGTGCTGAGATTCCCCCCTCAGATCCACACCTGCAGCCTGGGATTTTTGTCCTGTAGGTGAACGCCGCCAATAATTGGATTTTTATTTTTCTTTTGTGAAACAGTTTTGATTTATACATATATATATTTTTTTTTTCCCCCCTCTTCCTTCCTTCCAAAGACATGGAAACTCCTGTGGTGACCTTTTTAGGGTATATAACGTATAAATATTTTTTAAAAACTACTGTAGAGCTGAAACCCAGACAGCGTGTTCCCTGTGTGGATGCTGGCTAGAGACAAGCTCCAGCTTTGGGAGTGGGTCAGGGAAGGAGAGCTGCCCTCCCCCCTTTGTCCTGTGGCCACCAAATCAAGCCCAGGAGCCAAAAAGCAGCGCCCCACCCCTTCCCTGAGCTGGAGCCCGGACCTGCCTGGCAGCACCGTCTGTCTGTCTGTCTGTGTGTCCGTGGGCCTGGAGCTGCTCTGGCTCCCCCTGGAATGCAGCTCTGACCTCAGGGGTGGGCAGGGGAGGGGGCAGGAGGCCGTCCTGCCCCCCCAGCTCTGCAGGGATGTGTCCCCCCCCCCTCACCCCATCCCCTGGGGACAGGGTGGGGGCCAGGGGAGGTGGCACAGCTTGAGCCAGGCTGGCAGCACTGACCCCTCCCCGGCTGGGCTGGGGGTGCTGCTGCCCCCCCAGTGCGGCTCCTGCAGCTGCTCTGAAGTCTTTAGTCCATGAATTATTAATATTATTATTATTATTATTTGTCACGATGTTTCACTTCGTTAAATGTGTTTGAATGGGGAAAAACAATTTTTTAAGGCGATGTTTGGTTTTTAGGTGACCTTTTAGACACTGTATGGAATTTTAATTTGTTTTGAAAACTGGTTTTTATCCCTTTTTTTCTTTTTTTTTTTTTTTTTTAATTATTATTTTTGTCTGTTGGCTTATACTAATCTTCCCGGTCTGCTCTTCAGTCCTTTGGATTAAAGACACTTAAAGAGTCACCCAGTCTCTGCTGGTGTGGGGTTGTGTGGGATGCTGTGGGGTGCAGTGGGGTGCAGTGGGATGCTGTGGGGTGCAGTGGGATGTGGGCTGTGGGGTGATGTGGCCCTGGCACAGGGTGCCCAGAGCAGCTGTGGCTGGCCCTGGATCCCTGGCAGTGCCCAAGGTCGGGTTGGATGAGGTTTGGAGCAGCCTGGGACAGTGGGAGGTGTCCCTGCCATGGCAGGGGTGGCACTGGGTGTCTTTAATTCCCTTCCCACCCAAACCAGTGTGTGACTGTGTTCCTAAGCAGCAGAGGGGTCAAATCCCACAAAGATGCTGCAAGACGAGAGCTGGGAGCAGCCAGAGGAGCTTCAGCCTCCCCTTCCAACCCGAGCCAGGGGGAGCCTCTGGGGTTCCAGAGCAGGGAATTCATCCCTGGCACTGCCCCAGGACCTCAGGAGAGGAAACGTGGCTGCTGCAAACAGGCAGGGACGTGAGGCACAAACAGGGACGTGAGACACAAACAGGGACGTGAGACACAAACAGGGATGTGAGACACAAACAGGGATGTGACACACACACAGAGGTGTGAAGCACGGGCAGGATTTTCCATCCACCAAGATCTCACGAGCCTTGTGCAGGTTCAACGTTTTGGAAAAAAAAAACCAAGATTCTCTAAACAAACGTAATCCTGGTAATGAGCCCCGAGGCTGTCTGGGGCGGGATGAGGTTCAGGTTTCTTTTCTCACCCAGATCCTGTTCTGGAAATTACGGTGCTCACTGACACAAATCTCAACTCCGGCGGGAAGATTTGCGGCTTGAAATGTTTTCTGTGTGTGTTTGGGGAGGGAAGAGCAGAGCAGGCAGCCGTGGCTCCTTCCCCTTCTTCATTCCACTCTACTTGAAGCCATCAGTGGCCAGCAGGGTGGTCCTGAAACTTCCCAGGCTTTCCTGGGCATCCCAACTCCTGGAGAAGAAGGTGTCACCTCCTCACCCTCCACTTTCCCTCCCTCCCCAGCAGAAATGTTCCTCTGGTGTGGACACACTGTTAGAGGCCAAGGAAAATTACAGCCAGGAAAATCATTCCCAGGCTGGAGTTTCTGCTGGTTCTCTCACAAATCCGTTCCCAAGCTGATAGCTTATTCAGCTCTGGTAGGAAGAACTTCTCCCAGAATAATAATTTAGTCAAAATAGAATGGAATTAATCAATATTAGATTAACACCTAATGCCAAGCATGGGACTCGTTCTGAAGTATTGTCCCAGAAGAGTTTTCTCAATTATCCAATGAGCTGCTGTCTTATCTTAATTCTGCAGAAGATCCTGTAAGTACAAATCGTACTCTCCATGAAATGTCTCCTTCCTATCCTAAAGGATAACCCTGTAGCTGTGGCTCTTCTTTCCACTGCACCAAAGGGTTAAATCCCTAACCCACAGCTACACTCTGGAGGGGATTCACCCTCACCCAGCAGCCAGGTTCTCTCTTTCTGTCACTGCTTTCAGTGCCTGGGTGGATGAAACCCAGGGCTGTTTTCTGTAAAGCTGTTGATACTAAAAGGAATAGCTGGGGCAGTGTGGGTGGTGGGTGAGAACGGGCTTACTCACACGGGGCCGTGTTTTGTTGCTTTTAGATTTGAAACCCAAATTTTGGGGCAGAGCTGCTCACAAGGCGCTGTAAATAAATCAGAGGGCAGAGGAGAGGTGCTGGAATTCTGGGGGCTCTGTGCCCCTGGGATCAGGTAAGGATGGGAAAAGCAGCAGGAAGGAATCCCATTTTATTTGGGGGAGATGAGATGGATTCACACATCTGGAGAGAGGTGAGATTCCAAGTCCCTTCCAGAATCATTCTGAGGTTCTGTGGTTCCATTCATTACCTTTGGGAAAAAGACTCCAGGGGCAGCCAGGATATAAAATCAGATATAAAATCTGGTCTGGCACCTGTGGGAGGTGATGGCCACAATTATTTGCAGGAGTCAGCTGCAGTGGGAGCAGAGCAGGGGGACCTGTGACCTGCTGACTCCAGAGGAATTTGTGAAAGACTCACTGCAACATTTGAAATTTTGAAGTAGTTAGTAGAAAGATAACCCATCTCTCCTCACCCCACCCGATTTATTTTTAGCAGCAAGCTTCCTGCTAAGGGGAAAAATTATATATATATATCTATAATTTCTTGCTTTTGAGGTGATTTTGATCAAAAGTCTGGCTCAGCTCCAGGTCGATCACTGGGGAGGGATGAATCACGAAGATCTCTGCTCTTATCTGGCAACACAAGAAGTTTCTGCTGCTCTTGCAGGGATGGAGGTGAAGCCCCTTCCCCCAGCCGTGGTTTGCTGTGCTCCCATGGTGTTGGTCAACTCTGGACAGCCCCAGGGGGACAAAATGTCCTGTGCATGTGTGGGAGGAAGGCACGTTGTGCAATGGCACTGAGGAGCCCTCGGCTGGTTGCTGTTTCTCTGCTGCCCCTGTGTTTTGTGATGATGAGCATTATTTTACTGTTTATTGCCCTAACTGACCACTGAGAGTGGTGGTTTTTTCATGCCTGGGCTCCCAGAGCTGCTCTGAGTGTGCTGGTGGCCAGCTGCCTCCTTCTGTTGGCCACCGAGGTTTTGGCTTGGTTGCCTTTCTGCTCTGGGGTGGTTTGTACCCAGGGAACAGCTCCTGGTAAGCTGGACAACTCAAAAAGGCAAAAATTCTGTGCAAAACCAGCTGATAATTGTATTTTTCTAAGAATTAGGGCCAGGCACATCAGGGGATGTCAGGATTTCCTGGTGCGAGGCTTGGCTTGTGCACAGTTAAATTGCTTAATGCTCAGAAAATGCTGGATTTATGAAAGATCCATTGGCACCAGGCTTGCTCAGACCTGGGGCTGCAGGGATCCTGCTGAGGGCTGGCTGTGAAATGACAGGTGCTGATGGAAATCTGGCCGTAAAAGCAGCAGAACGAGATGTGATTTTTGCTCAGAGTTGGGTTCTCTCCAGAAATGGCACCATCAGGATGTAGCAGGCCCACGGGAATCCTGCTCTAGGATTTTGCAGCTCCTTTTTCAACCAGGAAAGGCAAAGCTGCTCCTCAGTGCTCCGAAAATCAGAGCCAGCAGGTTGTGGAGAGGCTGTGTGAGATGTGCCAGTCACAGCAGCTGGGCTCAGCATTGCAAAAGAGTCAGGAAACCAAGTTTCAGCTCAGAAAAAAAGTAAATTTGGTGCTACTGCCAGGAAAGGAACCTTGAAGTCCAGCTCTGGAGTGAAGGAGATGGTTTGGTTGCTTCAGGGTGTGATGAAATGATGGAGAGATCCTGCCAAGAGGCCAAAGGCAACAGATCACAAGGCAGAAAAGGAGAACTGGGGGTGTTAAACCTCTGAATCCCTGAGCAGCTGAGGTGCCCTGGGCTGGGATCTCCATCTCCTGTTCCATGGGAAAGCCCAGAGGAGTCTCTGACTGCAGCACCTGAAGGTCTGGCAGGGATGGGGAGCAGTTCCAACCCTTCCTCGCTCTGCATCGCCATCCAACAGCCCCGGGAGCGGCAGTGTCTGTGTTAATTCATGTGTTAATTACACATTAACCCACTGCTGATGGCACCCAGAAATATCACAGGGTTCGTGCAGCTCTGTGCCCTCACCTTGTGAGGTGAGTGGGTTCTGGGTACTTAAAGGGGCTTTTCAGGAAAGTGGGGATGAACATCTCAGAGGAGCTTGTTGTGAGCTCTGGGTGCATCCCCGGGGATCTCTGGGTTCATCCCCTGGGATTTTTGGGTTCATCCCCAGGGAACTCTGGGTCCATCCCTGGGGATTTCTGGGTCCATCCCTGGAGATCTCTGGGTTCATCCCTGGAGATCTCTGGGTTCATCCCCGGGGATCTCTGGGTCCATCCCCGGGGATCTCTGGGT